AATTAGCACTCAACATCCTGCTGCCTGACCTAAGTATCCTCTACCACTTTCTTCTCCAGTTGGACTAGGTACTTATCTAAGAAGTTCTCTGCTCATGAATATGCAAATTATTTGAGTCTGTGGTTGTAAATACAGAGATCTCCACACCCCAGAACAACATATGATCAGTGTCATCTCCACACTCACTGAGCACACAGATCCTCAGCATGGCATGGAGCTGGATCATCCTCTTCTTCCTGTCAGTAACTACAGGTAAGGGGCTTTCCAGTTCCAAACCTGAAGAGGGAACAGGGACTGAGGTGACAATGACATCCACTCTGCCTTTTTCTCCACAGGTGTCCACTCCCAGGTCCAGCTGCAGCAGTCTGGGGCTGAGCTGAGGAAACCTGGGGCCTCAGTGAAGTTGTCCTGCAAGGCTTCAGGCTACACCTTCACTGACTACTATATTAACTGGGTGAAGCAGAGGCCTGGACAGGGCCTGGAGTGGATTGGATCGATTCTTCCTATACTTGGTAGTACTGACTACAATCAGAAGTTCAAGGACAAGGCCAAACTGACTGCAGACACATCCTCCAGCACAGCCTACATGGAGCTCAGCAGCCTGACCTCTGAGGACTCTGCGGTCTATTACTGTGCAAGACACAGTGTTGCAACCCACATCCTGAGTGTGTCAGAAACTCCAGAGGAGCAGGAAGCTGCCCTGGGACTGAGATGACAGAGATGGTTATCCTGGAAACTTGCTCAAAAATAATCATTCTGGTCTGTCATTTCACAGTCTTACAGGTCTTTGTCACCTTTTCAAAAGGACTGCTGGGCATAAGGTGATGCTGACTCAGGATGCCCTGAGAGTGCACGCCACCTCCACCAGCTGTTTACCAATGACCACCTCCATTGACATGATTCCCTTTCAAGAAATTAAAATAGTCTGGGAGAGTGAGTGGGATATGGGGTCGGTGTTGCTTGGGTTACAGGGTCTGATGGGCCACAGTGGTAGTCTGACTTGTCTGCAGGAGGTCTGTCTGCCAACTGGCCTGAAACGGAGACTGCAATGGGTGGTGGTGTAGAGGTGCAGGGTTGTGGCCCTGGGCCCAAAGCCTAGGGTTGGGGTGTACGGGTGTGAGGATAAAGACTCACCTCTTGGGTCCTGGCGGGAAGACATGCAGAGATGACCGGCCACACTAGTGGAAGCCCATGAACTGTGGACTGGTGGCCGTGGAGCCCCCATGGGACTGGATTAGGCCCTCTGGATATGGAACACAGTTGTTTGGTTGGAACTGTTTGGGGGGCACCCAGGCAAGGGGATCAGGATCCGTCCCTGGTGCATGGGCAGGCTTCTGGAATCCGGTGCCTGTGATGTGCTCCCTGCACAGCCTTGGTGTAGTGGGAAGGGGCTTGGACCTCCCTAGGCTCAGTGTGCCAGGCTCTGCTGACTCCCTATGGGAGACCTTGATTTGGGAGATGCGGGGATATGGGGTGGCTTGGGAGAGAGGGCTGATGGGTGGGAGGAGGGAAGAGGTGGGATCTCTGGATAGTATGTGGAGTGAGTAGAAAATTTCTTAATAAAGAAAAATGAAAAAAAAAGAAATTAAAATAGAACAAAATGTAGCAATGCATTATGATATAAATATCTCTTAAATCTAGGGGACTGGAACTGTTGTTGGAGTACCTGGTAATAAGCTATAATATGAATCAGTCCAGTAAAAGACAAATCAACAGCATGTGCACAAACAAAGACCCTTTCACAGTCCAATTTGTTTTCTCAAAATAAGCACAGGCATTTTGTTGGAAGGGGTCCCCATAGTTTTGGGGTAGTTGCTTTAACCTTTTCTATTAAATCTAATTTAAAGCCTTTAGTTATTGATACATATGATCATGAATTGCTTTTGGCAGGAGTAATCAAATCTCTTATTGTTTTAGAATTAGGGATGGAGCTGAGTGTCATGTTGTGGGGTCTCCAGGGTGTGGAGTCTGCTACTTTGGCAACAAGCTGGGCTCCTGCTCAGATAGCACTGGGGAAAGAGCAGTGGGATTCCAAGCTGGGAATGTAGAGACCTGCTCCGGGTGCTCATTCCCATTTCCTGATATTGGATTCTCTTTGTCACCACTATCCACATAGACTGGACCAGTGAAAATGCATTACATTTTGCAGGTGTTTTAGAGGGAGGTTTACTCTACTGAGGATGATTAGCAAGTTTTAGTTTATATTATTTCTGTAAATGGCCTTTTCCCTCCACATTTGAAACACATAAGAGACCACAAGGACAAGCCAGAATCTGAGCCTTATGCTCCTCTGTGCCATCATTTTGACATGCTTTGTATCAAATCAGCAATAGTATGAGAGGTATTGGCAACTATAGAATGAAAATTTTTACAGTTAAAGTTTGCATTTTAATATGTAATTGAAAAAGACAAGGTGGAAGCAGCTTCTTTATTATCTGTCTTCTGCTCTATAGCTTGTTGCAGATGATGTACAAAGTCATAAAGGGCTCTGTAGATTTCTGTCTATTGTGGAAAAAATGCCTGAGGGAGTATTATCATCAGGAACTTCATTCCAAGCCCTTATATCAGCTTGGCTGCTTTGGCTGTTAACCACTTGAGGACTGGCAAGCAGTTGGGCCACTGTTTGGAAGTTTCCTTTTCTGATAACTTGATGATAAATAATGTTTATAGTGGTCCCTGCCTTTGCTTACAAGCAGCAGTGGACAAGTGGTCATCCATTCATTACTGTAGCCACAGCCTAAAGTGAGGGGTAGTAAGAATTGTTTTCATAAGGGCTTGTCAGGCTAAGGGTATTATTCATACATATTTGCCAAAACATCTATTTTCCTGTAGGGAAATGACACTTAACCCAAATTTCTTAACATAATTTTTGAGATCTTTCTGTATGGAAAATGGTGAGGGGGAGGTGTTCATGGGCAGGACTTTTTTTTTGTTGTTGTTCTGTGAGTGCTACCAAGTGACTTTATTAGAACGGACGGATACTTGAAGATACTGACAGGTGCTATCCAGAGACAGTTTTGTTGATAGTGTTGCTCATCTTGCTTTTCATTCTTTGATGACATATATGTTTCTGTGACATGGTGACATTATTATGAGAAGACAAATCTGAACTGCACACAAAAATGCAACATCTACATTTTAAAATGTTCTTTCTTTTTAATTGTCACAGATGGAGAATCCTCTCCAGTCCTGAAAGTGTGGCTCAGTAGATGGACTTCCTACCAAACTTGATTTAATAACCAACAACCCAAAGATAGGATGCAGGAATACAGCTGACACCTTCATTACCACGCATGGGCAGGATTCTTGATACTTCTCTAATGACAGGAAACACAGTCCGTAATTGTCCTACCTGAGAAACTATTTTAAGGCCTTTTGTGGGTAGGTTCCATTATTAATATGCTAACATCCTGAAGGAACATATGCAGAGAAGATGCAAGAGTTTTAGTAGTCCAGGCGGTGGTGGCACACACCAGTAATCCCAGCACTCAGGATGCAGAGCCAGGTGGATCTCTGTGAGTTTGAGGTCAGGCTGGTCTATGGAGCGAGATCCAGGACAGGCACCAAAACTACACAGAGAAAACCTGTCTTTAAAAAAAATAACAGATTTAGTGTGAAAGCTTTTTTTTCCTGGGACTTTCTTTTCATTTGGTGAGACTGTAGTGCTAGCCTAAGCTGGTTCCACAGATTAAATGTTTTAGTATAACTGGTCCCATAGAGCAGCACAACTTCTCACTATTTTTTTCCTCAAGATTCTGAGTGAGTGTTATGGTTGTCTTAATGTGGATGTTTCTTAGTAGCAGTCAATACTTGATGACTTTATCTTAATTAGGCTCTGGCTTCAGTTAATTTATGTAAGTTTTGTAGTTGCTTTGAACACATTAATAATAAACTCAGATTCATCAATACTGTTTCCACATCACATTAATGAAAGAAAAGTTCTTCCTCTTGATATCATTTAACCAAGAGCAAGCCCACATTTGAATCCGCTACTTGACTTTTCCTGTGTTGCCTTATGATTTCCCTTCTGTTGTAGGATCTGAATCTCTGCATCTATCTCTGTCTCTTTCTCTGCACCTCTCTATTTCTCTCTCTCTCTCTCTCTCTCTCTCTCTCTCTCTCTCTCTCTCTCTCTCTCTTTTCTGTCTCCATGAGCCCCCTTTTCCTCTGTCTCTGTGTTCTTCTGTCTCTACATCTCTTTGTCTCTCTGTTCTCCTATATCCATCTCTGTCTCTTTCACCATCTGTCTGTCTGTCTGTCTCTCTTTCTCTCTCTCGTGTGTGTGTGTGTGTGTGTGTGTGTGTGTGGTATGTTGTGTGTGAATCCTTAACAAAGATCTCTGCTCTGTATTTATTGAATAAAATCGTCTGTGGATAGACACATAGTTTTTTTCCATAATTTAGTTATTGTGATGTTGCTACAATAATCATTATTGTGCAAATATTTCTGAAGTATATTTATTTTTGGACATCTGGATGAGTTTCTGCATGTATAATCTGTTAGAATAGCAAATACTAATTGCACATATCTGAATGGAGGTTGTAAATTCTCATAACTTGTCAGGATTTAAATTTCCCATCACTACCATCGTTATCATCATCATCATCATCATCATCATCATCATCATCATCATCGCAATCACCATCTGTACATCAGTCTGACAACCTTTTCACAAAGTGGAGCAACTTTCTCAGGCCTGAATCTATTTAGAGCTCAGGTCCTGATGTTACATTCTTAGCATCTGTATAGGGTTAAGGGAAGGAGCATGTTATGTATTTCCTCAGAGAGGATTAGGAATTAGCACTCAACATCCTGCTGCCTGACCCAGGTATCCTCTACCACTTTCTTCTCCAGCTGTACTAGGTACTTATCTAAGAAGTACCCTATTTATGAATATGCAAATTATTAAGTCTGTGGTGGTAAATACAAGAAAGTCCACACCCCAGAACAACATATGATCAGTGTCCTCTCCACAGTCACTGACCACACAGATCCTCACCATGGGATGTCACTGGATCTTTCTCTTCCTTGTGTTAGTAACTACAGGTAAGGGGCTTTCCAGTTCCAAACCTGAAGAAGGAACAGGGACTGAGGTGACAATGACATCCACTCTGCCCTTTTCTCCACAGGTGTTCATGCCCAGGTCCAGCTGCAGCAGTCTGGGGCTGAGCTGGTGAAACCTGGAGCCTCAGTGAAGGTGTCCTGCAAGGCTTCTGGCTACACTTTTGATACCTATGCTATGCAGTGGGTGAAGCAGGTGCCTGGACAGGGTCTGGAGTGGATTGGGTACATTATTCCTATATTTGGTAGTACTGACTACAATCAGAAGTTCAAGGAAAAGGCCACACTGACTGCAGACACATCCTCCAGCACAGCCTATATGGAGCTCAGCAGGCTGACCTCTGAGGACTCTGCGGTCTATTACTGTGCAAGACACACAGTGTTGCAACCACATCCTGAGTGTGTCAGAAACCCTGGAGGAGCAGGAAGCTGCCCTGCGACTGAGATGACAGATAAGATTAGACTGGAGATTTATTAAAAAATAATCATTCTGAGTGTCCCTTTGTCTGCCATTTCAGTCTTACAGGAATCTTTGTCAACTTTTCAAAAGGGCTGCTGGGTAAAAGGTGATGCTGACTCAGGATGCCCTTAAAGTGCACCATGCCTTGACCAGTTGTTTACCAGTGACCACCTCCCTTGACATGATTCCTTTTCAAGAAATTAAAATAGAACAAACTGTAGCAATACATTATGCTATAAATATCTCTTAAATCTAAGGGACTCGAAGTGCTGGTGGAGTAGCTGGGAATAAGCTATAATATGAGTCAGGCCAGTAAAAGACAAATCAACAGCATGTGCACAAACAAAGCACCTTTCATAGTCCAATTTGGTTTACCTAAAACAAGAAAAGGCAGTTTGTTGGAAGGGGTCTCCATAGATTTTGGGGTAAATGCTTTAACCTTTTCTATGAAATCTAATTTTATGTTTTTAGTTTTCGATACATCTGATCATGAATTGCTTTTGTCAGTAGTAATCAAATCTCTTATTGTTTTAGGATTAGGGATGGAACTGAGTGTCATATTTTGGAGTCCCCAGGGTGTGGAGTCTGCTACTGTGACAACAAGCTGGGCTCCTGCTCAGATAGCACTGGGGAAAGAGCAGTGGATTCCAAGCTGGGAATGTAGAGACCTGATCCTGTCATCAGCAGCCCTGGGTGCTCATTCCCCTGTTTTCTGAAATTGAATTCTCTTTGTCACCACTGTCCACATAGACTGGACCAGTGAAAATTCATCTTACATTTGCAGGTATTTTAGAGGAAGGTTTAGTATACTGAGGATGATTAGCAAGCTTAGTTTGTATTATTTTTGAAAATGGCCTGTTCCCTCCACATTTGAAACACATAGGAGACCACAAGGACAAGCCAGAATCTGAGCCTTATGTTCCTCTCTGTCATCATTTGAGATGCGTTTATCAAATCAGCAATAGCATGAGAGGTATTATCAACTTCAGAATGAAGCTTTTTACACTTAAAATTTTAATTTTAATAAGTAGATGAAAGAGATAAGGTGGATACTACTTCTTTATTATCTCTCTGCTGCTCTATACCTTGTTGCAGATGAAGGAATAAGTCACAAAGGACTCTGTAGATTTCTGTGTATAGTGGGAAATATGCCTGTGGGAGTGTTAATATCAGGAAATTTATTCCAAGCCCTGATAGCAGCTTGGCTGCTTTGGTTGTTAACCACTTGAGGGCTGGCAAGCTGTTGTGTTACTGTTTGGAAGTTTCCTTGTCTGATAATTTGATGACAAGTAATGTTTATACAGGTCCCTGCCTTTGCTTATGAGTAGCAGTGGACAGGCATTTGTTAATCCATTACTCAAGCCACAGACTAAACTAAGGGGTGGTGGGAATTGTTTGCATAAGAGCTTGTCAGGCTAAGGTTATTATTTCATAGATATTTGCCCTAACATCTATTATTCTTGTAGGGAATTTTCTACAACCTTATTTTTGAGATCTTTCTATGTGGAGAATGATAGTGGGGGGGGGGTCATGGGTAGGACTTGTCATACTTCTCTAAGTACTAGAAACATTGTCTGTAATGGTCCAGCCTGAGAAACTTCTTTAAGGTCTTCTGTGAGTATGGATCAATTCATATATTAACATACAGAAGAGAAGTATGAAGAGAAGATGCAAATAATTTAGTAGGAAGACAAGTTTATTCTGGGACTTCCTTTTCCTTTGGTGAGACTGTAGTGCTAGCCTAAGCTGGTTCCACAGGATTAAATGTTTTAGTATAACTGGTCCAATAGAACAGCACAACTTATCATCATTTTTTTCCTCAATATTTTGTATGAGTCTCATGGCTGTGACACCATGAATGTTTCTTAGTAACATTCAATAGTTAATGAGTTTATTTCAATTATGTGCTTCAACTCCAATTCATTTATGTAAGTTGTAGTTGGTTGGAACACGTTAATAATAAACTCAGATTCATCAATACTGTTTCCACATCACATTAGGGAAAGAAATCAAACAATTTCCATTGATGTCATTTAACTAAGATTTAAATCCCCTACGTGACTCTTCCTGTGTTATCTTCTGTTGTAGGATCTGAATCTCTGTATGTATCTCCGTCTTTTCTTCTGCTCTCTCTCTCTCTCTCTCTCTCTCTCTCTCTCTCTCTCTCTCTCTCTCTCTCTGTGTCTCCTTGGATCTCTGTCTCTCTGTGAGTCTGTGTCTGTGTCTCTCTCTTTCTCTTCCTCTCCCTCTCCCTCCCTCTGTAGCCCTCTCTCTCTGTTTCCTTAACAAAGATCTTTGTTCTGTATTTGTTGAACATCATAGAAAGCATCTCAAGGGGAAAGAATAAGGGATATTTGAGAGAAACATTTAAAAGAATTTTACTATGGATTAATAACTTTTTCCAGCTGACTCAAATAAGTAGTACACACTTCCTTTTTTGTCAAATAACATCTGCATATTGTTTTATGAAATCCTGGATAAACATTTTATAGAATTTATTTAAACGTACATTTTCTGTTTTCAGCAAAAGGTTATCATGAAACACATACATACACTAATGCATTAGTCTTCAGTTAGGAACGTGGAAGAGCACACAAATACAGGTTAGAGCTATGCCTTATCATTTTATGTAAAAGCTGATTATATAGGAAATCCTAGGCAAGTAAGGTTGGGTGTTACAATATTCTTTAAAAGGCAGGTTAAACAGCCGGAATACACAGTTGATCACAGTCTGAAGGACTTCAAAGTGTATTGTTCACTCTGGCTGTGTGATCTAGCAAAAATATCAGTCTCTTAGAATGTAAGAGATATTTTTATCATAATTTATTGCCACAACAGTATAATTTCTGTAAGCTGGTTAAATGTACTATTAAAACATTTTTCACAGAATTCATTATTGACACAATGTATGTACATGTTAATTATCAATAGTTCTGAAATTATCCATTATGCAGTATTCTCTGGTCTCATATTTACTGTCTTCCCAGTCTCAGTACTAGTCTGACCTACATTGTAAAGTCTTTAGAGAACATGGACCTACACTGATATAGCATCTTCTCTTATTAAAGAAGGTATTTTATGTATCATAGGGCAAATGATATCCTACAACAGATTATACTCTATGTGAGATAAGTTATGTTAAGAGGAAATTTCTAGCAGACCTCATGAATGTAGATGTAATTCTAAATGGTTTTATTAAATATGAAAATATAGCCAAATGCAGAGTTAAAAGCCCTAGAGTTCAGAGCAGTAGCTAAGAGCTGAGACCAAGACCATCTTCTTTCCCTCGCTGCCACTGCTGTCCTTCCCCTTAAAAGAGACCTACTTCCTGTGTGTCTGTCTTTTTATTGACTTTCTGTTCTGCCTTCTCATTGGTTGTAAACCAAACCACATGACCTCCTCGTCACTGCCTGTCTATACAGACCTCCAGGTCTCTATGGTTGGTCTTGAGATTAAAGGCCTGTGTCTCCAAGCTGGCTATGTCCTTGAACACACAGACTCTGCCTGCCAAGTGATTGGATTAAAGTCTTGTGCCCCCACCACCTGCATCTGCTATGGCTTGCTATTAGCTCTGACCCCCAGGCAACTTTATTTATTAGCATACAAATAAAATCACATTTCAGCACAAATAAAATATCACCATACATGGAAGACCCAGCGGAACCTAAGCTCTAGAATATCCACTTGTAAATACAGAAGTCTCAAAACTCAAACATTCTTCTAATCTCCATGGGAAAAATTGCATCCTCAGTGGAGGGGAGTGCACAAGTTTCTGCTCACACAGGGTTGAGGCACCTGGAGAAGGAAAGGATTGATCTAGATGATTATTGAGGTGGTTTGAAAGAAAACGGTTCCCACAGGAAGTGGCACTATTAGGAGGTGTGGTCTTGTTGTAGGTTGTGTGGCCTTCTTGGAGAAAGTGTGTCACTGTGGGGGAAGGGTCTGAAGTCTTCTATGTTCAAGATATGCTCAGTTATGCTCAGTGTCACAGTTTACTTCCTGTTGCCTGGATTCAGAACTCTCAGCACCTTCTCTAGCACCATTTCTGTCTGAAGATAGAAACTCTAACTAAGACAGTAATACTACATGGTCTGCTTTTCATTCTTTTTCAGATTCCCAAGTTCAGGGTTCCTATCTGACCCCCTTGGTTCTTGAAAAGTTTCAAGTGTGATGATTTCAAAGGCTACAGGTATGTTGACCTGGCCTTGTAAATCCATCATAGGGTCTGTATGCATCTGAGCTATCTCTGACTATTCTATTACAAGATAATACTCACTGGCACTGGATTTTCCAAATTTTGGAAAATGGGATACACTGTTGGGAAATGAAGTTATTGTGGAGTCAGAAAACAAAACCCATTCTTGTTAAGGCTAATCTCCATTCCAGAAATACAGCTAAGGACCAGTTATCCCTGAGGTTTATATCTTTGACGCACAGGAGACAGCTTTCTTTACAGTAAGACACAGTGAAGAGACATCACTGTGTGGCACAGGACACACATAATCATGCATATTCTCTGTTCTAAGACCACTAAGGCCACTGAGGACCTCCCGATCTTTTGCTCTGTTATAACTTTGACAAGTCTGAGTCCATTCTTTTCTGTCTATGTATACTGGTGTGTGTGTTTTTGTTTTTGTTTCATTTGGTTTTGCGTTTAATTAGGAAAACACATGCTCAGGCTCCACATAGGCATCATGACACGTTCAGGAGCAGAAATGACTCTGCCAATGACCAAATGGTTACATATTAAAAGTTTCCATCACACAGTGAGATTCTGTGGTTTAAACACACCTTTGAATCAGATCAAAGTCTGAAAGTTGTGTAAATAAGACCCAGTGACAAAACTCAATTTGTTTCTAATTTGTCCTGGCTCTTCTCACATGGGAGCACCTCAGGCTGAGAGCTGACTGGGAGTGTTTATTTTACTGCTGGTACATTTGTTTTCCTTCTGGATATTATTCTTATGATTCTTCATTACCCTTCCTTATCCTCTGGGCTTTTTATATAAGGTTACATGA